CCCCCCCACCTCCCCCTCCCTTTCCATGTCATTGCCGTACGCCAGATGGCAGCGGACAAAACGTCTCCCGACATCGAGGTGAGGACGAAGCAGCGCTGCGTGATCGAATTCCTCCACGCGGAAAAAATCGCCCCCATCGACATCCACCGCCGCCTGCTGAACGTCTACGGGGACCAAACCGTGGATGTGAGCACCGTCAGGCGCTGGGTCGGCAGATTCAGCAGCGGCGACAGCGACGTGAAGGACAAACCCCGCTCCGGCCGGCCCTGCACCGCCGTGACGCCGCGCAACGAAAGGAGGCTGGAGCAGCTGATCCGCCAGAACCCCTGGATCACCACCCGAGAGCTGAGGGCGGAGCTGAAAATCGGATTCAACGCCCTGGAGACGATGGTGGCCACGTCGGATTACCGTAACGTCTGCGGGATGTGGGTGCCCAGGGTGTTCGCCAACCCCCTGCACGTGTGTCGGGACGTGTGGACGCGGTGCGAGGGAGAAGGGGATGAGTTTTTGGGGCGCATCATCACCGTGGATGCGCCGTCCAACAGCGAGAATCACTCGGATGGGGAGGGACCGCCCCCGAAGTGGAGCAGGGAAGGGGCGGAGGCGTAGAGCTGGCCCTGAAACTGCGCCCTGGAAGGAGGAGGAGGGACAGGAGCGTGCCCAAATGACCCCAAAACTGCCCCCCCCCCAAGGAGAAAACAGGGCACAGTGCCACCTGAAGTGCAGCAGGCTGCTCCTGAGGGCAGGAAACTGGACAAAACGGAGCCTGAACTGCTCCCAGGAGCATCAGGCTGCGCCTAAACTGCATCAGACTGGACTAAATCGCCCCCAAAAGGCCCCAGAACTACTCACGAGAGAGGGAAATGGGACAGAACTGCACAAGACTGACGTCATTTGGGGACATCAACTCCAAAAACTGCCCCTCAGAAGCATCAAAGTGCAGAGAACAGGGCAAAACTGCCCCCTGAAGTACATCCAACTGCTCCAAAATTGCTCCTAAGAACAGAAAATTGGACAAAACTGTTCTAAAAAGCTCCAGAACTGCTCCAAAACTGCATCAGGCTGGACAAAGGTGCTCCAAAACTGCTCAAGATTGTCCCCAAGCAACCCCAAAACTGCCCCCCCAAGTATCAAACTGCAGAAAATTGGACAAAACTGCCCCCAAACTGCATCCAACTGCTCCAGAATTGTTCCCAAGAGCAGAGAACTGCACACAAAAGCAGAAAACGGGACAAAACTCCACAAGGCCATCCTCATTTGGGGACATCAACCCCAAAAACTGCCCCTCAGAAGCATCAAAGTGCAAAAAACGGGGCAAAACTGCCCCCTGAAGTACATCAAACTGCTCCCAGGAGCAGAAAATGGAGTAAAACTGACCACAAACTGCTCCTAAGAGCACAAAACAGCCCCCCAAAAAGGCCCAGAACTGCTCCAAAACCACATCAGATCAGACAAAACCACCCCCAAAAACTCAAGCACTAATCCCCAAAGCAGAAAATGGGACAAAACTACACGAGATTGTCCCCAGACGACCCCAAAACCATCCCCAAAAAAAGCAAAAAGGACAAAACAACCCCCCAAAAAAGCATCAAAATGGACAAAAAGACCCCAAAACAGCCCCCCTCCCCACCCCAAAGCATCGAACTGCCCCGAAATCACCCCCAAAAACTACAGAACTGCCTTAAAATGCACCCTTCCTCCCTCCCCCCATTGTCACCCATGGCTTTTTTT